AGCGAAACGGAGATGGTTTAAACTATGCAAATCAGCATGAATGTGATAACTGACTGAAAAGGATTATGGAAACATCATAAAAATGTTAAAAGGAGAAAAGATTCTTAATTTCCAATGCTCATTTCTCAGAATCGTTGACAATGCTGCTCAGGAATGATGAGGAAAATAAGAGCCTGATCGAGTTAGTGTTAAGATAAATGCGCAATATACGCTCGAAAGCAGACAGACTAGTTGAAACCCAATTTTTAGTGGCTGGTTATTCCAAAGAAAGCTATACATGTTTCAGAACATAATCCTTGCTTCGAGTGGACACATCCTCTAAAAAGCTGAATTTTTGTTCTTCCTTAACGTGTGCTCAAGGTGTTAATAGTTTTTTTGTTTCCACAGAGCTGTGATACAGTTACAAACACTCATAAGGACTCTGGAAGCCATAACTGGCAGTCAGATTCAATTTTAAATGCGTATTACATTAAAAATCTGGATGGGAGCATGAAGAAAACAAAAGAACAAACGGAAAAGTATATTTAAATTTTACTAAACCGAATTTTGGGCGGAAAAAGCAAAATTGAGATTATCAGATCTGTACTCGTTTAGGACGGTGCTTTGGATCCAGCTTGTCCCTCTGCTGTCGTGTACATTTAGCCCTCCCTATTGTTCGCGCCACCCTTTTCCAACACACTTCTGTTATATTTTAATCCTTTCATCTGGCGCACTGCGCCTGTTTACTACAGGGCCCGTTCCGCACCTGTACTTAATCGAATGAATTCTGAAAGAGGAGATGAAAGTGTGGAGGTTGACGTTGTTTATGAAGCTCCAAGAGACAGGTTTGCATTTCTTACATTTGTATTTTTACTTCAGACTGAAATTGGTATACATATCATTCTTTTTTATCGGGCTGGCCAACCTCATACCATGGAACTTTTTTACAACGGCTAAATTTGTAATTTAGATTCTTACCTAACGTTTTAGTATTTTATGTATCAATTACGCAATACTTCACTTCCCAATGATACCGACATCCTCGATCCAACCTCGATGACAACAGACCAGATCTATTTCGAGAACTATCTAGCCTTCTGTTCAATGTTTCCTCTCACTATCACAAATATATTGAATCTTGCTCTCCAAAAATGGTATGTGCTCTTCAATTTTAATTCTCCTGCCAAGGTTTTCCGCCTTTAAGCGGTTTGGTTTCGGAAGTGGCGTAATGTTTTTGGTTTTCACACTGACAGTTGCTTTGACAAAACTGGATTTGGGTACCACAGTTTGGTTTCCCGAATACTTCTTTTAGATGCGAAATTGTTTCTCGGAATTACCCTGATTTCCGTTATCTTTATGAATGGTAATAGAAATTACTTTTGAAAATATTGTCTAGTTGGCTGCGCTCTTACCCAAGGAAGTCTATTAGGTGTGGCCAGTAGCCTGCCCTCCAGCAATATACGGGCTCTTCTTGAAGGTCAGGTAAGTAAACATGTTAGATGTTTAGATTCGATTAAAAACCTTCTATTTAGGCTTTTGCAGGCATATCAGCCGCTTTGGCTAATATAATCGTCCTCAGTCTGGCCCCAAGCCCTACTGATTGCGGTTTGGCTTTTTTCTCCATCGCTCTGGGATTTATATTGCTTTCGATTGTTCTATGGCTTCAGTTGTCACACAATGTAAGTATTATAATAGTGTCTTTATATCTGAATTCCAAACTCACTTCCTTACATATGTTATTTTTTTAGTTCAGTGCTCTACATTTGTTCAAACATCCCTTCGGCCAATTTATTCTGTTTCTTTGTGGTCCTAATTCTCCGATAGATTCCTAGCCTACAGTGACTTTTTAGTCCTAATAATTTGTCTGACATAACTAGAGGTTAGATTTTAATGTTAATTTCTTTCGTTTCCATTAATATTTTGCTGATCTCGCCGGCTTCAATGTGTGCAATCCGCATAATTCCTAGGTTTCAAGCGAATTTCTATACAAATATCTAAACTAAACAACTACAGTCTGCCGTAAGTCCCCCAACCATTAATATAATTTTTAACTTCACGATTTCGCTCGAAAGTAACGGACGTGGGCGGTTTCCTTAAAATGGGGTGTTCGAGTTAGCTTACGCGAAAAGTGTTATGCCAAAAAATAGACCCGAGGATTCAGTAATCCCTGAAAACAATTCCGAAGCCAGACTGGAAAATGCAAATACTCTAAGCAGTTCCATTTTCCGGTTAAGTCTCAATCATTCTGTTATCAACCCCTTTAAAAAGTAAACAGTGAAGTGCATACTTTTTTGGTCCCATAACTAGGATTCACCTTTGACTTGTCTTCCCAACGAACAAGCCCTTGAAATTGCCCTTAAATTGTTTTTTTTTGTTCTGAACTGTTTTGTCCATTAACCAAAATTATTGCTAACTACATATTCTTATGTATTCATTGTGGACTGCTAGTTCAGTATCATTGGTAAAGCATTAGTACTACAATTTTCGAAGGCTGATATTGAGTCCTTGCTAACCTAAGGAAAATAATATAGATTTTGTTGACGTTGTAACTTCTAAGCATGAATTGCGTGTGGACATTACATACAGAGTTGCCTACGCCATCTAAAAGTGTTCTAGACGTAGAACTGGATTACCATCATGGATGTTTATTCTTAGCCACTATACTTACCAGAATTCGCAGTTTACGTCTATGCTACCCGCTTTAGCAATAAAGTGAAGCTTACGGGGTGGCAACATACCGGATGTGTAACGGGAATTTCATTGACAGCGTGGGCATGCTGGCGAGGGTTGACTGCTCTGGCGTCGTGGGTCAGAGGCCCTTAAGACCCGCGACACACTCTTTTACATTTGACATCGGCGATCAGGTTGGCTTTGTATATTACTGCCCCAATCTTCACTGCTCTCCTTTAAGCCGCTCGCCCTCCAGGTTCATTTGCCAATTATTAAGGGAACATCCACATGTAATTTCGTTTCTGAGCGTCATGTTGACTATCACTCATTGCGTCGTTGCAGTAGAACAGTCATTTAAGTAGGCGTTCTTAGTCGACGTGTCTCAACATGGCATGGGCTCTGGGGATCACAGTTTTTTCCAGGACATTCGTGCCGGGGATTTGCCTTGTTTATGTATTCTCTGGGAACAACCAAGATGGACGTGATTGCGTCACCTTGCTTGTTTGATGTAAACGGTCCATGTCGCGACCCGTAAACTTGCGCTACCAAAACTGCTGCCCTGTACATTTTGAGCTTCGTGTTGAGTTTCAAAGCTGAGGACCGTAGTCAGCCTATAGTCTGACTGAACTGGGACACACAGCGGGCACTTCGTTCTCAGTCTTCTCCCTGAAATTGAACGGCCGATGTAGGCGAATTTATCCACCTATGCAGTTTTGACTCTTTTGACCTTGACCTGAGGTTTATCGTAATCGGCGTTGGACGCCGAATAACGCATGTCTACCGTCTCTTCTCTGTCTCCATGGTCATTCCAGAGTTAGCGGCAACGAAGTCTTCCCTCCGCTGAATTTTTTCCTGTGTTGGGGCATGTAGTCATCCGCGAACAGTAGATCGTGGACACCAGTTTTGGATATTCTCGAGCACCTTTCAAGGCGAAAATTTTTGAGCATTATCTGCCAGTCCGGTAATCTTTATCAATCTGTGGTCGCTTCTCATAGTAAGTGTTTGTCAGAGCATGATAGAGAACATGAGACTGAACCAGGTGGGAGTGAGTAGGCAACGCTGCTTCACCGCATTATTCACTACGACTGCTTTGGAGATTGCGCTGTTTGAAAAAGACACGAGCAGGCATCATATTGTGGAGTTAATGCAACATTTATATGAAGTGCTCCGGGCATCAAAATTGAAACATTATTTTGCAAAGCCCATCGCAGTTGACAAAGATGCCGTGTAGGTTGGTCCTCATGTCTTCGCACGTCTCCTGTAGTTGGCGGACTGGGAAGGTAATATCGGTGTTTCCGCAGCTTCTGTGATCTCCACACTGGCTTTCTAGAAGAAGTCCCTGCTCCAAACGGAGCTCCATCTCTAATCCGGTCCGACTGCAGGTAGACCTCCAGTTTAGCATACTTATAGGAGGTTCCCGTTCACTCGCCTGGGAACACCTTTGCACTAAACGAGCGCTGGCCTCCAATGATAACATGCATTGTTTATCCCTCTGTCAGCCAATCGACGTCCGTACTCTTCTGACTCCCTGGGTGCTAGTTGCGCCATATCTGAACGCAAAGTCCCTTTTCTATTCATACGACTTACAGAAGTAACTTATTTTATCGAAAAAAGTGGACTGTAGGCATCCAAAATACTCTTGTTTATCATTAGTTCATACTTTGGGACTTGAGCCTAGTCTTTCTTTTGGACATAGTTGAAGTCAGCCGTTCAGTGAGTTATGCTTGTTGTGTCCTTTAATTTTAGGCCTACTTCATGTACTACTGGAGGCGAAAAGGTATTGTCAAAATTTTTTTTTTATTTTATGCATTCACCTTTTGTCCAGTTCTCTTGCCTCAACGATGTCAAAAATTTGCCCGTCAAGACATGGCCAACTTGCTAGGTTGACTTGAGGCACCACTGCCTATACAATGACAGTCGTTACCGGTCGCCAATATGACAAATTGGGTCCCAGCCTAGCTGCTGGTGCGTCTACCGGTAACGGGTAGTAGAACGTCCTTCAGCTGAAGTTAGCTCTGAAATAAGAAGGCTGTCGGGTCTGGCAGCGATAGTGCTACCAGGGCGCAGAGTGCCGAGGTCTGGCGCACAGACTGCCTTATAAAATGCCGTAAATCCCAGTGACGGCAGTGTGACATGGTGACCGTGAACCGCCATTAAATAAGTTTACTTGCTGCTGCTGCTGCCTTGCCGTTAGGTTCTTGAGCTAAAGCGTCAGAGGAGGTAACCCCAAACAAACAATCCGATCGGCTGTTAGGAATCTGCATGTATTCCAAATACCTAAGAAACCTCGTGCAAAATGTTCATATGAGCTCATTTATACGTCTCTCGATCCGGCTCCGTTGCCCACCTCAAGAGGAGGTAAACTCAAGACCTGGCTCGACACAGTTCGTCAGGACATTGAAGCGGTTCATGGATCTTCGATTTTCGGTCTCCATCGCTGGAGAAGAGCATGAATTGAGTTTTCCAGATCCGCTGCCGCAAAGTGTCACGCGTGAAGAAATGAAATACGTGGTATCATCGAGGCTGGTTAAATTAGGCATTATTACAGCCGTATAAGTTAAATAACAGATTAAAAATTCAAACATTACTGCAACCTGCTTAATGTTGGCCGTTCTCAAATGAGATTTTAATCCTTGCTGAAGCCGTATCAGATCTGGACGCCGCCCAAATTCTTTGTGGAACTCAAGTCCCTGCCTGTTCCCCTATACTGATGTTCTCCACAACTATTTACGAATTGAGAAGAAGTAGATGTGACCTCGGATCCATCATCAGAGACAATAACAGCAACGGGTTTATATTGCTGTTGTCTTTGATGATAGCTCTGCGACGGATTAAGAAACGTCATGCGACTACAATTCCTGAATAAAGAAATGTCTCCGTATTCGCCCAAGGAGGCCAAACGCAAGAGCGAAATGCCAAAGTTTTTCTCACTGTGCCTCTGAAGCGACAGACTTCGTGCGAATAAAAGCCCAACTAGGTGCAGCTGCGCAATGCAGTTTATTCACGGTTATGCCGCAATTTCCCTCCCTACGAGCACCCAGGTCCGACCACAAGGACGCTCGAACACAGACTGGCCGTGTGGATGAGTTTGTTCACTCTCCCAAATAACTGTCCACGTCCTAATGACAGGTTATGGCACGAGCCGGCGACAGGGCAGATTACCATCTGCTCTGTATGTAAATCCCTGTTGCAAAATCTCTTGATAGACCTGCCCCTCCCACTTATCGCACCTTGCGTTTGCGTTGCTAACGTGGTGAAACGCCACGAAGCTGCCCACTAAGTCCTACTATGTTTACTCTCTCCCTATGCACAGACGTAAAACGTGAAGAAGATCCCCTCAGGTCCACGTTTGTGACAGAAGGCGCTGGTGACAGTGAGGACTATCGGATCGCCTCAGAGTCTGGCGACGCCGACACCGCCGCTCCATTGCTCGGTTCGGAGTCTTCTAATGAGTCGCCAACCTCCAATCTGATGACGGTTATGCGCGAAGTGCTCTTCCCCGGCACCTGTGTTTTCTTCATTTTCGTCGTTACCCTCTCACTGTTCCCCAGCGTTCTCGCTCTCATCCAGCCAGATCACTATGACCCAAAAAACAAGTGGAAGGGTGAGCTTGGTGACTCACTGAATGGAGCCATATTTTGCCGAAAATGTTTGGGATGTTACTTTTAGAATAAGGCCCATTCTTGCCTCTCTCTCTCTCTCTAACACCCTTCACTCCCATGTAATTTTTTACAGTAATCCGTGTAGACCCACTTGCCCTTTTACAATAGACTCGTGAAATTTTATGAATTTCGCAAGAAAATCCTAGTTACACCAAAGCAGATCATGTTACGTCTCCCAAAAGTCTTACAGTGGTACAAGCATGACGGATCTTAACAATCAGGCGTATTGTTGTTGACAAATTAATAGTACGTTATTTAGGAATATTCATTTTCAGAAAGGCGGAAGATTCGAAAACGTACAAAATCCGTGTCCCTGAGTAAATTTTGGTTCTAAATGTACAGAAAGTGTATTCTCGCAAAAACCGAGTGAATAAAGCAGTAAGAAGTAGAATTACGTTTGATTATACTCATTTAGTGGATTTTGCACAGAAATATTCTTCCATGTTAAGTGCTGTGAAAAGTATGGCCGTTAACAAACAGCCTAAATTTCGAGTATATATTCTAACACAGTTTCACGGGAATGAGCTGTTTTTTTTGTGTTTCTACGCTAATTGAGATGCATTTGAACAAGATAAACAAATGCTCGTCTGACTGCGCCGATAAGAACGTCACAGTACTAAAATACTTCGTAAGCTCACACGTAATTCATAAATTTAAATAGAATTGTCGACTGATCTCGTAAACCTACCATTTTG